TGTAAGACTCACAGTTTATTATTCTAAATTATAATATTATTTATTTTGAAGTCGTGCTTCTGAAGTATATCAAATATTTTGACCCAAGTTCTATATAATCTGAAAACTCTTTTATATCTTTTAGTATCTTTTGTGCCACGTTTATTTATTAATCTGAAACTTAGAAATCTTGTTATAACCTTTTTAGATGTAAATGACAGAAGCCCACCTCAACTAAACAGGTAAAAAAGGAAATTCAAAGAGACTAGGATATCTTAAAACCAGAGGAAAATCTAGCAACTAAACTGAGGGAAATGGCAGCTAGAATTCAGGAACAAATGGAAATAGAAATTAATGACTTTAGGACCTTAGGACACTTTCTCTAGTGCATGCTGGCTTTCTCCTTTGGTGACAGACTGGCTTCCTTTATGGCAGGAAATAGGGCAGCCACACACATTCCATGGGTTCTGCAGCAGAGAGATTGCCAAGCATGGTCACTAAATGTTTTCTTCTGCTAACATTTAATGATTTTAGGAATCTTCTGCAGTGGATATTCATATTATGCACAGTTTACAGATGAGGCACGGAGAGATTAGGAAACTAGACTACAGTTGCAGAGCTTGGAAGGAAATGGCAGAGCTAGAGTTTGAACTCCGGCCTTCCAGTGCCTTCCAGAGCTGACAGGTTGACAGTTAGCTACCATCTCGTATTTGCTGCAGTCAGGGGATGGTGGAGACTTTTTGTTTGTTGTGTTTTTGCCTAAAGAGTTAAACTGTGCAAGACAGGGATATGGTTTTAATTTGTTTATCATTATTAAAAAGATAAGACAACTGATAGTATTATAATGAACTATTTTCAGATCATTGAAAAATTCCGAGTTTTTAGAAAATTAATTATGTTTGGGGACCTGGATGGCTCAGCTGGTTGAATGTCTGACTTTAGTTCAGGTCATGCTCTCACGGTTTGTGAATTTGAGCCCCACATCGGGCTCTGTGCTGACTGCTCAGAGCCTAGAGCCTGCTTTGGATTCTGTGTCTCCCTCTCTCTCTCTCTCTCTCTGCCCCTCATCCACTCATGCTCTGTCTCTGTCTAAAATAAATAAACATTTAAAAAATTTCTTTTAAAAATTAAGTACTCTGTACAGCCAACATGGGGCTTGAACTCATGACCCCAAGATCAAGAGTTGCATGTTCTTCCAATTGAGCCAGCCTGGCACCCCAAATTCTGTGAGTTTTTGTTCAAAGAGACACACGTAATGTGGTTTGGCTACTAGATCTGTCTTGAGTGTTGTATGGTAAGGAGGCTTTCTTCATTGGACCACAGTGGTACTATGTCAGTGGTTCTCAACCAGGGATGATTCTTCCCAGGGATATTTGGCAACATTTTGAGTCCTTTTTGGTCATCACAAGTAGTGTGTTGGGTTACTGGTAGCTTCTAGTACAAATAGGCCCAAGATGTTGCTAAAGGTCCTATAGTATGAGACAGACTCTATTCCACAAAAGAATTATTCAGCTTCAAATGTTAATAGTGCTGAGGTTGAGAAAGATGTACCAGATAAACTGGGCCATTTTCAAACTAAGTGTCTGTGTTTGGGATGAAAAGGCAAGAAATTGTGGATATTTGAGTACTTGGGGAGAATGTATAGGTCCGGACCAAGTACGATGTACTCTGAGGGGTTTAGAGTCACATTATGCTAGGGTGCCTTGAAAGAAGGACCAAATAGTGGAAGAAGTTTACAGAGGGGGATGTAGGAAAATGGAACAGACAAAGTTGGCCAATTTTGATTATTTTCACTGAGGATCCACTGTATGCATACAAGTAAAAAGGTAAGGAACCCTAATCTCCCTTTCTTTCTCCCTGTACCTGATGGTGATGTCATAGGACATTTCTTGACAAAAATGGGCTAAACATGGGCTTTGTTATTTACTCTGATTTATAACCTTGAAATTCATTAATAACTTGACTCTGGTTTGTATTAAAGAAGTAGAGCTGTTATTTTTTAAGAATGAGTTTGTGATTTTCAAGTTACAGTGACAACAGCAGCCAACATGTATTGAATGCATTTTGTGTGCCAGACACTGTGCTGCTAAGTCAGTGCTTAATCCCATCGAGCTCTCCAAATAATCTTTAAAATAGTTTCTCTGAGATGTATATTTTACTGATGAAGAAAATGAGTCCCAGAAAGATTAACTAGCATCCCCAAGGTCAGACGGCTTGTCAGCTGGAGTTGGAATTCTGGTTTGATTACAGAGTACACTCTAACCACCAGATGATGTGCCGCCTTTTCCTCTGTAAGACCCCTACAGTTTTTTCTTATGCTTATTTTCCATCTCTAGTTGAAGTTTTGATACCATTAGGCAATTCAAAAAATTGTATATTTGGTCTCAGTTCCTGTTAGTGAGGGAATTTATATATGTTTGGAAACAAATATTCCATAAATTAAAGCTGTGAGATCTTCTATTTCCAAACGGTTTCAGAGGAAAAAAGTAACTTGAGTAAATTTGGTAACCAGTATGAGATCTTATTTAGATGTGATGATTGTGGAAAAATGCTTGTATTTTCCATGTATAAAAGCTTAGAATGAAACTTTTTACAGTGTATAACATAATTAAGATGAAATATTTCCCTCTTAGCTTTAATCTAGGTTTATCCATCTGTGTAAGAAGACATTGTATAAAATCTTTCCAGTGAAATTCTGTGTAATATGGATTTTAATATCAAAAATAAGATAGATTCTGACCTCTCCTATTGGAGGAATATTGTTTTAAAAGAGAGGACTTTTCAGTACTTATCATATTTATGAATAAATCTAACATTTGTGAGTAGATTTTAACATTTTCTAAGAAGTGTGTGTGTCCATCTGCCACACTTTGACTTTTAAAGCAAATAACTGTTATGCACATGCGTTACTTCCTCTTTGGGAAGTTGAAAGTTAGGTACCTATGCCGTTGCTCAGGGAGTAGGTGGAGGAAGAGGGAATGGACAGCACAGGCAGCCAAAAGTCCTAACTCTTTTCAGATAATTTTGTAATGGGGGTGAATAATAAGATGTGTTCTTTCATTGATTAAAATTTTGTCACATTTCTGTTTTTATTTTTCATTTGGATTTGCCATCAGTTCAATTTTTGGAGAAAAAATATTGAAACTGGGACAGGGGAGGATGTGGGGTGCCCATGATCTCATAGTCTGCCTTCCCTAAAGTTACTGCACCTTCAAGGTTTGACCTTGGTTTCCTGGATGTTCTTGACACCTCCCTCCACCTTCATCCTGAGTCATGGCAAATTTTGGTACAAAATTTATGCCAGTGCTTCATTTTTATTGTTCGTCCTCTGCAGACTTACTAAATTATGATTACTGGCCCTCTTTTGCTTGTTTGCTGTGTTAACTTCCAAGTTACATACTTTGTATGGTTGTATATAGCTTATACTGTTGAATTAGCAGTCTATGAATTAATGAAAAGTCTGATTAACCTTAGGAGTATAGAAGATGTGAGAAATACTGGTTTATGTGTGGTAAAAAAATTTTAAATGGGTCATCAATTGATAACTTCCTTTAGTCTTTAATGATTAAATGTGGTTTGAATAGCATCTTCCTAGTATTCCCAGTAGGGTTTGACTCTGCAAGAAGGAAAGTATCCCTATTACTTAAAAATAAAGGTCTAAGTCTTTACTTATTTGAGAGATCTATTTTTGATGTTAATTTAAATTTAGAATATATGCCTCAAACATTTTAAAGGAGTAACACTAGCATAGATATTAATCAAATGTAAATATTGCAAGTAATATGTAAAACATCTAATCTTTTTTCCAATTTTGCTTTATGTAACTTTTTTGATATGGGGAAAAGAAGGACAAGAGCTATAAACTCAGAGCCAAATGTGCTTTTGTTGTTCCAAGTTTTCATGCCAGAGGTGTATAAACCTGCACCTGTTGGTAATTATGAGCAAGCCAGCCTTTGCCGAACCCCAGGCCTCTGCTTAACACTTTTTTACTGGAACTAAATGATGTTGCCATTTTTATTTTTAGGTTTGCTGGCATGGGTAATCTCATTAAGGTGCTAACCAGGGACATAGACCACAATGCAGCACATTTTTTCTTGGACTTTGAAAGTAAGTCTCTTTAGCCCTTCACAGCTGGTGCATAATGGTAAAGGTGAAAGATGAACTATACTCACACCGCAGTGAAGGCTGGCCCGAATATCTGTTGATAAAATATGGGGATCAGAACAAAGTTTGCATGATTTTTTTCTTAATCGTAGGCAAACATCACCATCATATGTATAATTCTTTAGTTTTTCATTTGCTAAAATCATGTTGAGTCTGTAGCCAGTGCTGTCCTTTCATTAGTCCATGAAGCAAGCAGCCTTGTGATGAACATTCGCCTCGGTGACTACGCTCAGCAGTCTGTTTGCCCAGAAGCCTGTGATAATTTTATAAAAAATCAGAATTGTGCTGCATATCCAGAATCAATACTTTAAACAACTTCCACAAATTTATGAATAATCCAAATTTGGTTAGAGATACATGCTTTATTTAAAGGCATGCAGGCAGTAAGTTGAGTTCTGTTATGTTACGATGAAATGCAAAGGTGAGCTGTGGCCAAAACTCTTAATATTCGGCTTTGAAATAAATTGTTGTTTCAGTGCAATATTAATTAAGATTACATGTGAATAATTCTTGATAAGAAATTTCTTTTTCAGAATACTAGCACTATTGGAATACTTAAAGAATTTTTCATTATAAGGCCATTAATGAAACTTGTCTTGGGAGAATTTTGAGAAGAAGTAGAGCAACACTTGTGCCATTGTGTGCAGGAGAACCACCTCCCACCTCTAGGTCCTACATGCCAACATCTTGAGAACCCGGTTCGCTGTCTGCCAGAGCACAGTCTGGGCACCCTGAAGGACGAATTCATGGCCTAATGAACATTTTCCGTTACCTTTTTTTTTTTTTTTTTTTAATAAATTTCAGATGTTCTTTTTTATAAAGGGATATTTTCTCTTTTCTCATTCTTGTCTTGACAGGTACCTTAACATGGGGAATCTTCTTAAAGTTTTGACATGCACAGACCTTGAGCAGGGGCCAAATTTTTTCCTTGATTTTGAAAGTGAGAAGATGATTTTCTATCTATTTCTCTTTGCCTGCCGTAGACTGCGTCTGTCCTGCACTAAACGAATGTTTCCACTTTGCCATCTTTTTAACTGCTTTGCATGACTGAGCTATGAATTGTTTGAGTAAAATTTCTGGTGCCTTCTAGAACTGGAAATCCTATTTTATAGATTACATTGTAATAAAATGTTTTCACTTGAATTTTTATAAGAGAGTCCAATCTCCTGGTTGGACATTATTTTATAATTATAGATCTCTATTGAAAACATTTGAGATACTCTGATGAAAACATTTGTATGAAAAAAATGTGGGAAGGACAAATGCTGCTTTGAGATTTGTTATTAGAAGCCATATTTGGGGAAAAATTTGTTGCAGCTAAGAAAAATTGACTATGTTTTAATCACTCTGTATCTATTGAAGTATTTTAAATACAAATCTGTTCATGAAGGCCATTCAAAGCTCAGTAATTTGGGCATAATATTAAAAGGTAAGTGTGAACCTTAATTATTTAATCTTTATGGATAATTTGAAAAGTTAAACTTATTATATGTATTTATTTCAGGAATTCATTTTTTTTCTAACTAAATAAAAAGAAAAATAATGGGTTCACAGACCTTTAAGTAATTTGCCTTCTGTTTGTTTTATGTTGCATGACCTATTGTAATATGGTCTAAGAGTGGCAGGTAAGTGTCATTGACCTCTGTGCATGTTGGAAAGCTTTTGCTTTTGGGCTGTCTGTATCGCTTTAGCTTATCTTGTTGTCCAATTGAGAACAATATTAAATCGGTTATTTCAGTGTGAATGTTGCTGTTTTAACTTATCGTTATTAGAAAATTGTTAGGAAAGGGTGAAGAGATAGAAGAAGGTTATTAAGTCGTGTGATCCCGTACATTTTCATAGATCAAAACATTTGAACCAAAGTTTAACTACTTAAAATTTAAGACCTTTTCTGGTTTTAAAAACAAAGTAAAACCCTTCAAATCTATCTCCAGAGAGTCATTGCATTTTCCATCAACTTTAGTTTATGTGATATTACACAGTTCATTCTACTTTATGAATAATTTACAGGTTTTTTTCTTTAAACCAGGACATTTGGTATGAACACAGTGTGTAGCTTATCTCCATTTTATGGAGTAATTTGTAGCCTCTGATATGTTTTTTTTTTTTTTCCTATTACATTCATACAGATGTTTTGTTATAGTCTGGGTCCTGTGTACAGGCTAGCGAAGAATAATCGTCAATATCAGGACCATATTAAATTGTTGGGTTTTTAGAGGAAGATGTTATTAAATGAAGATTAGTTTTCTTGACCCTTCTCAACAATTTAACAGTGCCAATTTAAGTGCATGTTCAGCATGACTTTTAATCAGCTTGGGGATGTTAAGCAGATTGCTGACTTGAAGATTCTTCTTTCAGATGAGGCGACTCACACTGGAGCTGTATTTTAGTTTATTTGCATCTGTTTCAAACTGGTCTTGTGTATTTTTCTGCTATTCTGTCTCCTTTTTATTCTGTCTCGAATTCCTTACATTTGCAGAATCTTGGCTTTGATATGGTCAAGATCTTGTTCAAGACTTGGCACTTGATCTTTTTATAAACCTAGCATCATGTTTTGGTCAAGTGAGAAGCATGAATTTTAGATATTTCAAAGATTAGCAGTATTTTAAATATTATTTGGTCTTGGTTTTCTAGTCTTTGGGGGTTTGGACCATTATCCTTAAAATTTAAATAGCTAATTTTAAGTGGCAGGAGAAGGTTAAAATTGCTACCACCACCATGGACAACAAGCAGTAATGAAGAACTGTATGTACATAGTGTTAACTTGTTAAAGGCAGATATAAAATAAAAGGTGATATTTGTTGCCTTTACCAGCCAGTGCAAAACTTTTCATTCGACACTTACTGGTATTCTGTATACTAGGCCAGAGTTTGCCTGTTGTTACTTCTTATCTAGATTTTTAAATATGTTTTCCTTTGACTCCAACATTAGAGTTCTCTTAGTTTTATCTTTCATCTGTTTGCATATTGTCTTCTTTTTGAAAATATGCACTTGTAAAAAATTGATCTTACCATTAGACTATTTTAGGGGCTTTAGTCCATCACATGGGTCCTCTCTTCAACGATTGTATGCCAGACTCAGAATTGTCAACACAGTTGATTTGCCAGTTCCTTGTGGTTACTGAGAATAAAGCCACATTCTTTTATTAAATAGAATATTTGGTACTGTATTGTTTGTTTCAGGTCGAACAGTATGTTCAGGTTACCAGAGTAATTTGGCTTTATTATTATACTATTCCAACCTTCTGAGTGCTTAAATCTAGCTCACTGTATCTCCATGGTTGGGCAACTATAGAAATAATTCCATACAGATAGATATACTGACATTTTGTATCAAGTTATGTACACATTAATATTCTTATACATATAAAACATGATCTAATGGAATCCTGTAGTTTACAAAATGAAGACGTCTTTAAATCATTACTCCCTTAATTTACATGCATGCACATACATGTATGGGTTTTCATATCAGCTCCACAAACATGTAAGGCTTGCCTCCCATGTGCCAGCCAGTAGATGTTGGGGATGCAGAGACAACTAAGGTGCAACCCCTGCCTTTGGGGAGTTCTTAGTCTAGTAAGTTAGAAATGCAAACCGATAATTTCCTGTACATAATTACATTCGAGGTATAGATCAGAAGGAATTAACCATACCTAGTCATGTGTAGATTGGACATCATGGAAGACTTTCTGATGGGGACCTTAGAGTTGGGCTGTGGAGGGTGAGTTAGAATGTTTCAGGGTAAAGTTGTGGAAGGACGCTGTACAGAGAAGGAACAGCATCTTCAAAGGCCTTAAGGCATGAGGTGACATTTCTGTGTTCAATGAGACATTGTTATCTATTCTTGAGGTATACTAGAAAGAGAGGCTTTTCTGAAATTATGATAAGGTTTTAAGAATAATGGTTCAAGGGGCACCTGGGTGGCTCAGTTGGTTAAGAATAATGGTTCAATTAAGATACAAGCCCAGAACTGCCCCATGAATTTTGGCAGCAGTTATGCTAATAGAAGCATATAAAAAAAAAAAGCATTGAATTGGGGGCCATGTAGCCTCTTCTAGTTTTTGGAATTTCTTATTTTATCATGACATTAATAGCTTATTCTAAACAAATCTTTAGCCTGAGTAACCACTGTATATATTAGTTCACTAAATTGTGGTTCTTGGGAGAAGAGGGACTTTTATTTATTTTTATGTCCCTTTCTAGCCTTCACATAATGGCTTTATAAATGATAGAAGTTTAGTATTTGTTAGTTAACTTGATTTACTTATCTCCTCTCCAGGTACACCAAAATAGGAGAGTAAATAGAGGTGGTTGTTTGTAAGTGAGGCATAGAGTCTTACTTTCTCTGATTCTTTGTTAAAGTGCCTTTCTATTTAGTCATACATTTCCTCTAATTCTTGTGTCTTTTGTGTGACTTGTCCCCCGCAATCTTGTAAAACTATTGATATCCACTCTTGTAGTCTAACTTTATTTTCCCATTTTACCTCTTGCATATTTTCAGTTGCTTTTGCCCTATATTTTGGGATATCTTTATTCTGGTGGCATTTTCTTATATTTATTTTTCTAAAATGATGTAGGATTATATTTGTACAGAAAGAAAAATGCATCATAGCCTCCTTTAACTTATGCTAGAGGTGTATTTATATCTCTGTACCTTCTTATTCATTCACCAATATATATATGTTACAGAAAATCTGCCAGGTACTGAGTCTACCTGCTGTACAATGGTATGTACTGTACACCCAGGTCCCTGCCTCAATGAGACTTCTGGAGGCAGATCGTAAATATTACTGAATGAGTGAGGGCAAGACCAAAGCAGAACGACTCTGTGTCACAGTTAGAATTTTTATGTAATTTGCTTTTTGTTATTTTTCTTCTGTAGCTGCTCTTTGCCCCCTGTGTCCCAGAATGGATGGAGTTTTAGCAGTTATTTTCAATGACTCTCTAATAGGAAAGTGGTACAAAATTGTTGCAATCCTTAATTTTACCGTCAAACAATGAGAGCAACTAAAACGTGCTTTCGTTTCCCTTGAACAGCTTTCTAAACTTTGGCTTGATGAGTGATCACTACTCCTAAATCCCAGTAGTCGATACTTTATTTAATCCTTTTGTTAGCTGGTTAAGTGGTAGATTTTTCTTTAAGTAATACAGTGTGTCATTCTTTGCTATGAAAATCAAAGTGACAAGTCTTGGTTGCATTATATGATACCATTTTTTGAAAAAATGCTTTATTTTTATAGTCTTTCTCCTACCTTTTTGCATGACTTGCTGTCAGTAACGTAGTGCTTACTACTGTCTGCTATTTTCTGTTTGTCTTCATATCTACAGCAGTCTTCAGCAGCTTTCAAAATTATAAATGTGACTTTCCTGTGATAGTCTAAACAATGTTTAATCAATGTGGTGCTGGGTATTTTTTCCACCCTTAGGGGGAACTGGAATCTTCTCCTTTATTTTTAAATTTCTTGGTACTTACTAAACTTTTAATAATTATTAACCACTTCCAAGGTCTACTTAAATCTACTTGGTAATGTTTCTTTTGTATGTAAGTCTCAGTGTTACATTTTTCTGTCAACTGCTAGTCACCATACCAAAAATACAGTTTAGTATTTCAAACCTGACAAATCTCGTTTGATATATAACAGCCGAAATATTGTCCTTTGTCATGAATTCCCACTTCATGAATTAAAACTATGATCTGTGTCTACTATTGATGTTATGTCTGTGGTTTCACAATTCCATATGAAAAAATATAACACTGCTGTTTTGCATGTAAGAAAAGTATTTTTCCCTATTGCATCTGGTGTAAGTATGAAAGTTATGAGCTGTGTTTTTTTTAGTGTGTGTCTAACTCTTTGGAGATTATTGTCTGGCTAAATATGAAAAATCACTTCTGCTAAATGACAAACCCTGATTTTTAAAAAATTATTTAGCTGCAGTATCAGTATTTGCTCCTAGTAATCCCTATATGGCTTTAGACAGAGTATTTTCAGTTTGGCTCCTCTTGTGTAATTACTTTGTCAAAGTATTTTTATTAAAAAAGTAGATGATTTTTGAGAGGAGATTTGGAAAATAAGGGAAGATATGAGAACACAAATTCTTAAGTTAGCTTCGCACATGAATGATACTCTGTTACTGTTGCTGCTGTACTGTTTAAGTATGTTGAAGTTAAAATTTGATACTCTGATTTAAAAAAAACCTGGTATATTTTTGACTAGTTGGCAGGTTTAAGAGGTGGAATTGAATTCTGACTTGCCCATGTGCTAAATAAATATGTTAACAGTTTTTGGGCATGTGGACTCTTAGTTTCATGTATGAACTAAGTTTCTTTAACTTTTCCAAGGAAAGAAAGAAATACATTGTATATTTGTGGGGAGGTGAAGTGGGTGCAGGAAAGTCTAAGTACTAGTTTCATGTGAGTGGTAGATGAAGGGAGTTTGTCAGAAATGCTCTCCATTCATACTGTCAGTTTGGTCTGCCTCCCCTTTCCCCGGAAGAAAAATGTTTGTGTGGAGGAATTCAGCCAGCACAGTTCCTCTCTAAGACATTATGATAATCACAGTGTTTATCATTTTCAGTGCTTCATGCCTTAACTGTAGCTTTGAACGTGGTCTAATTGGAAAGACTTATGAAAAACTCAGTTTCACAGATTGCCCATTTTTCTCCAAGCAAAAAAACAAAACAAAACAAAAAGTTGTATTAAATAAAAAAAGATTTATTCCTCCTTAGAGAAACAAATGACCAAATTATTAAAAACAGGATTTCTGTTAACCTCGAGTTTAGCAGAAAGAAATCCAGATTTAGTCATCTATTAGCATATGTTCTGTGGCTGACACCACAGGTGGTGGAAATGCCCATATGTTTGTGTTCCTGATTATGCCTTTGATGACTGTAATTCTCGCTTCATTTTTCTCTCACTCAGTCCCAAGTGTAGGGGGAGTCGGCTTTTGCTTTAGTATTTCAAAATTTCAGTGACAGCTTTGCAGCTGAAAGTGTCTGGTTTACAGCAGCCCACTCATGCTGGAGCGATGTCATAATTTGAACTCCTCTGCCTAGGACTCTTGACCTTGTGCTCATCAGTACAGAAGTTCATTGGCACAGAATTTAAAGTGGTTCGTAGCAAAGGGGAGCATCTAACCACTGTTCTTTTAAAATAGTTTTTAATTTTTCATATTGAAACTTAGTCATTAGAATTTGTGGGAAAATAGTTGGAGTCTTAAGCCAGAGATGAACAAGATATATTAGTAGGCCTTGCATTTCTATTGGATTAAAGTAAATCATTACTCATGCATTTACAGCCATTATTAGTAATGATTATGAGAGTAGTAAAAGTGAAACACTATCACTATCACACTATCACAATTTAAATTTTGAATTACAATTCTCAAGTTCATTTAATACCGAGCCATGATTTGTAAGTTAAAATAATTAGTAATATTTGATGTTCCCTTGCTCCTTTGTGATGTTTACAAACTTGAAGCTAATTATTCAAATGTAGAAGTATGAAAAAATTACCAATCTTTTCTAAGAACTGCAAGGTTAACATTGAATAAAATGTTAGACATCTTTAGAAATTGAGATTGTTCATTGCTTAGCGTTACACATGTACTAAAAAAAAAAAAATCATGTGACTGTAAATTTTTTTGTGCTTTCCTGCTATTTAGATGCCCAGCCAACAGAGTCTGAGAAGGAAATTTATAATCAGGTGAATGTAGTATTAAAAGATGCAGAAGGTATCTTGGAAGATTTGCAATCATATAGAGGAGCTGGCCATGAAATACGAGAGGTAAAGCATGTTTAAACGTTTTCCATTAAACTAAAATTCACTGTGCCCCTCTTCTTAATCTCTGTTGTTTTGTATATACTTTAAGATTCTGTATTGCTTATTAAGTGTTATATTTAAAGGAAGATCACTTGCATCATTTCAGAAGTGGTTGTACTGATAGGGTAAAAAGGAAAACAGTGTTCTATAAATACGTAATTTCTGTATATTAAAATTTTACTCATTTTTTGGTTGCTCTCCCACATGAAATTTACAGTATCCAATGGGGACTACTTATACTTTTTTTTGGAGAGATGGAGAGATCCTAACTTTCTGTGGCCTTTTGTCCTGCCAATCTATGTTTTACATTCCTCTCATGCTTCTTAGGAGAAAGCTGCTGTCATCCTTGCAGCCTGGACTCCCCCAGCTCTGTCTGATGATTTTACACCATGAAGCAAATACTTGATGTGCTCATGACTTGCTTCTCTTGAGCCTCTGAACTTAATCTAGGTTTCTGTCCATCTATCTCTTCCTCCACTTCTGTTTCTCAGAGGAAGCTGTGTCTCTACTTGTTACCAAGACGTATTTCTTTGCCTTTGTTCTGCATCCTCCTCTGGAAGTTTACTGTTAATTATTTTTCCCTTAGTTAGATCTTCTGTGTTTTCTCCTTGGTTGACTTCTTCCCATCAGAATACACACATAATCAGGTGTCCTGTACCGCCCAAAGAAACTCCCTAGTCTCTGGACTCTTACCTTTATTTCTTGAAGGCATAGCTCTGTTTCTTCACTTTTCCCCCATCCTTCTGCTTCTGTTACTCTTGTGTGTAACACAGTGTACAGGTTGTCACTGGGCAGTGTGACGCTGGGTTTACGGTCCATACCCAACTCCATTCCTCAAATGATACCTGCATTATTAGTGAAGGCAGAATCAAGTGCAGGCACCAGAAGACCATTCAAGAAGTGTTTCAGACTAAGGGGCCACAGGTTTTTGGCGATTGGATGGTTAACAGGAGGGAGAAAGGGGAGTTATAAATGATTCCAGGGTTTCTGGTTTAGGTTAGCTGTTGGTAATATCATTAGCTGAGGGAAATTCTAGTAACGTGAATTCCGTTTTTCACCTCTCACGCACTGGACTGTTGCTGCCTGAACGTCTTGCATGCGTACACTTTCCTTCCTTCACATCTCCGCAGTTACTTCCCCTCATTCTCTTGCCCTTGTGCTGTGCACACGTTGCTTTCATGGTAATCCTTTCTTTTTGAAAAGACTTATTGAAACGTAAGGTGTATGACTCCACCACCACCTTCAGCTTGAGGAGGAGAAACCTGGTTTCTTATTAATGTTTGTGTCGTCGGCACCTAACACAGTGCTTAGTAAGCAGCTAGTAACTGTTGGAGAAGGAAATACAAGAACTTAGACTAATCTCTCCAATATCACTGGCTTCAGTGAAACCTTAAAATTACAGTAAGTGAAGGCATGTAACCATTTCTGGGAAATTCAAGTTCTGAACATTTGAACATATTTTGAAAAACCAAACATTTATGGAAATGGGAGTTTTAAATGATTAAACAGAATCTTAATTAACTGAGAAGGTCTTTCTTTCCCTATAGGTCACAACAATTCACAAGTTGCTCTAAAAATGTTTTAGTGTCTCCATATTGATTATTAGTGCTAGAAATTATTTTTAATTGTTCAGTATTCTATCATTAAGTTTCTTTAAAGTTTTGTTTTATAATTGAATTGTGATCAGCTGGATACAGTTGTCTCTTATAAACAATAAAGAAAAAACATCTCATTTGCTATAGAGCTACAGACCGTTACCTATTTCATATAGACCATTACTGTTTTTAAGGTTAAAAATCCTAAGGGGTTTTTTTTTTAAGCTTCCCAAGGGAAGGGTTACTCTGCTTCTGTGTGGAAACGCTCGCTACAATGAAAGTTTTTTTCCCCCCATAGTCTTTATATTGACTTAATGTAATGTATATGCCAACTTAATTGAATGCAGTTGTAATTTTCTGGAAGAGAATAAAATGATAGAAGAGCTTCTCTATAAGCCATTTCAAAGAGAACTTGTGGGGCCATGAAACCAGGAGCTCTAAATGCTGTGAACAAAGTTTGGAGTTCTCCATGGGACATTATAGTCACTCAGTTCAGTGCTGAAGCCACGTTCAGTGCACTTGTGGCATCCCATGATTGGTCAGGTGGGAAAGTAGAGATAAATGTTGCAAAGCTAAAAAATAAAAAAGAAAAGTTTATATAGAAAAATAACACTCAAAGAACAGTAAAAGAAAAGAGGAGAATAACCAGTAATGGTAAGAGATTCACCTGACCAGGCCTTCAGACTTACTACAAAGGTCCCTTCATTTCACTCCTTGGTAAAGGAAGTAAGGATAGAAAATAAGTAAATAAAATAGATATAAAATGTGTATGCTAGAAAACTCTTTTAAAAAACAGCATTTAAATCTGTTTAAATAGATTTAGGTAAGTGTTTAACCATTCAGGCATTTGAAGAAATTTACACTGAGGAATGCATATTGATATTTGGGTTTAACTCTATAAGCAGATCATACTTCTGAATAACAAAAACAGTTAAAGAAGGTACAAATAAAAGCTGATTGTGTACAAATATACAAAGAACAGATGTAACTAGGTAACTGTCAATATGAAGACTTAAACAAACGTGTCAGAACAACCATTCTACCTATGAAAGAGCACAGACTGTAGGAAAAATGTTCAGTTTTACCAATAAGTGCATCCCTCTGTCCAGCAGTTTTATTGTATAGGATAATAAGTTATTAAAAGCTCAATATTGGTTGGTTTTTGAAGGAACAGGTAGTCTTCATGAAAGTGCTCTTCTAAAATGGTGCCATTTTGGAAGTCAGTTTGGCAGTGTGTAAAATAAGACCTATAAAAGTTACTTGTACTCTATCACCAGATACTTCGACTTTCAGATCATTTCTAAAATGTAAGTATCTGGTGCCAGAGTATTCAAGTGGAAAGTAAAATGTTAAAACCTCTGCTGAGGATGGGGAGTTAGAGATATCTTTTCTTAAATAGTATTTTATTAAACATGACTGAAATAGAATAAAATCTGATTTAATATAGAATCTGTTAAATACACAAAGCTTATTCTCTGGGTTAAGCACTTTAGAGAGGGAAGTAAGAGCTCTCCACTAATGTTTTGATATATCCATACCTGTTTTAACAATTCTGAAAATGAGACTGACGTCTGCTCCACGGTTGACATTTACCAAGTGCCCTTCTCTGTGTTGGGCTCCCCCGGGTGCTGTACCAGAAACCTTGCCTGACCAGCAGGGAACCTGTGTGAAAGGAGAAGGAGTCAGAATTACAGGAACCATAGCACGTTGTCCTAAAAGAGCAGCCAGTGTCCATTTCTAAATCCGGGCAGGGCAGGGTGAGGAGAAGTCTCTGACTCCCTCAGCTGTGAAGGTGGTTGACGTTTGCCCGCGCATTTTGATGTTATGAGGATGAGTTTAATAGTTTGAAAATAATTTTTAGATCCTTGCAAGAAAAGTTAGATAGGCTTCTCAAGAGAAGAAAAACAACTTTTCTCTGTTCGCTTATTTCCTGGACAATAAACAAAAGTTTTACTACTCGATACGGAAAGAACTTCCTCATGTACGTCAGGACAGTATCACAGTCCCTTTCGGACATTCCTATTAATGTGGAGTCAGGACTGTTACATGTAATGTCAGGTTTTCTTTAAAATATTTCTAGGTAGTCACATAAATAGGATCCACTTCAGAATCCTGTTGTGTTTGAATGTCATTTAAAGCCATTTTATATTTTTAAAAATTAGGAAAATTTGAATACAGTGGCAAGCAGATAAAGCACTCCGTGTAAATAATACATAGCATGTTTAGTAAGTTTGTAGCTTATTCAGAGCATTCTCTAAATCTCTCTGGTTTCTACTTTATTTTGCTTTCTTGTTTTTCAGTTTAGTGTGGGTAGAGTCAGAGTACTCGTGCCTTGGGGAAATCTAAACATGTCCATACCTCCTGATAGTGTTTATAAGAAGGGCCTCCCCGCCATACCCCCATCTCGATTCTGAGTTTCAGCTTGCAGATGGTGTGTTTAGCTTGTTTGAAGATGTTGGGGATAGCAAGCCAGAAAGCTGAAAGCACGAAAATACATTTCTTTGGGAGTAACCCTCTATATTCAAGAAAGATTGCCTAATGGTTTGAAAGACTGGTCCTATTTTATCAAGTATACCAGGGCTTCCTCTGTTTGCCGAAACCTGTATTTTCATGTAAAACTAAGACTGTTGTGATTTTTAAAGATCTAATAACTATTTTTATTCTTTGGATTTTGAAGGCGATCCAGCATCCAGCAGATGAGAAGTTGCAGGAGAAGGCTTGGGGTGCGGTTGTACCACTAGTAGGCAAATTAAAGAAATTTTACGAATTTTCTCAGAGGTTAGGTAAGTTGAAAGTTTTGTAATTATGATTTCCCTAGTGAAAAAGACATTTATTAATAAGGAATTAACGTAGTATTTTACGTTCACATCGCTGAATTTGCTACGTAAGTACTGTACGTACTGTTAAGACTGTAGGAGTACAGCATAACCTCATCCCTGTCAGCCCAGCTCCTTAATGTATTTAGACCATTTCCCTCAACAAATGACAACTTCCCTAAGGAAAATGCTTGAATTTTTTGTAGCCTAAAGGGTCCTAGTGTGAGAAAAACTGCTTGGTCGAATTTTTCTCTGTAGCAAATCCTTTTCCCTAGGGAACTAATCCTCAGGCCCTTAGCTGGATTATTTAGGTTTTTGTGTTCTTAAAGTCATTGTTGGTTATGATCAGTTCATGTTTCTGAAATCGTACAAGATGAGAAATAGGAAGCTGATGAGATGCCCAAAATTTATCTAGCGAGTTGTTAAAACAGAAAGCATGGAAACCATTTGCTTTCTCCCTTGCTTGGGAAAAATTATTCAGAGGTCTGAATTGTGGCTTCCATTCAGTAAGTGAGTAAAATTGGAGTTCCGTTGTCTTGGAGAAAGAGGAGGCAGAGCAGGTAAGATGGAGTTAGCTGCTGGAGTGATCTGAAAGACGTAAGTTGCCAGGTTCAAAAAGGGTAATATTTGTGCTCTGTGTGGTGGTGATGGTGTTGTGTTTTAAGTCTCCAGTTGCCTAGGGGAAAACCTGTTGCTGAGGCAACAGTTGATCGGTCAGCCTGCATCTCAGGTGGCCGGAGCGATCTCTGTGGCAAACCTTCTCTGCGTTGGCTAGTTGAGGGCTTGTGCTTTCCAGTTTCCAATAGGTCCCTGTCACTTCCTGGTTTTTTTATATCTTGCTCTCTCTACCTTCATATTAGCGGCTCGGGCACTTCTACAAACTGCTTGAAAGTTGAAGCTCAGTTTTTAAAAAAAAAAAAAAATGCCTAGGTGTCTAAAAAAGTGTAATAAGAGAATTGCTGTTTTTCCTTAGATGAAGTACAGACTTTAATGTACACAGAAATAATAGTTGAGATAGAGGTGTTGGTATAAATTATCCTTTTCTTATTGGAAACAAGAATTACAACTTATTTTCTCAAGCATGACAGTTCTTTCATACTGCTCAGCCTTTGGATCAGGCATCTATATAGACTGTAGTTTTGTAACCCCAGAGAACCTAAATCTTTTTTTTTTTATTTGTTGAGAAACTGTCTTTTTAATTGTGCTTCTCTTGACTCCTTATTTAGTTTTTCTTGTGCTGCTAGTTCCTTGCTGGATTTGTGGTCTCACTGCTGTAGGTGGCGCTCAGGCCCGCTCAGGCGCATCTTGGTCTCTCAGCATTTGCCACTGAGAGAAGAATAATTGTAAAAGAAGCCAGTGAGTCTTATGTGTTCTCTTAGTTTTAGCTGTCGGAATTAAATCTGGCCGGTAGTGTGTGTCCATTTCAGCAAAGGGATGTAGTAACACATGGAGTAGTAAGAGGCTGTCATTTTGCATACTGTCATGTGGGAGCCTGGAACTTTCCTTACTCCAGCAGCTTCTGTAAAGTTACAAGCAAGGTACATGTATAATACAGGGTGGTTAATGTTTCTAGTTTCCTTGCCGACCGGAGCAGATCCTTACTTTCGTATGATAGGAACTCAGTGAGTGAGTGATGAATTAATGAATGCACACATTTGATACATCAGATATGTGTTGGTGGGTATTTAGGAGAAGCAATAATAATGGATTTTAAGCTTTGGAGGCATAGCTGCCTGTTTTAAATCTGGACCTCAAGGCTCATGAGCTCTCTGTTTTATGTTCATCAAACCTTTGGTCTCTTCTCTTCCTTCTTGAGCCACAGCTGAGGATAAATGTTACAAATAGCCCACAAAGCAGCACATAATTGTTATGATACACATGACCCTTCAGAATCGTACAATCCCAAGGAGAAGGTTGCTTGGCCTGAACACCACAGATACACCATTGTGTGGGCTCCAGAAGAGGGATTCTGATCCCTTGCCAGCTGGCATATTTATAGAGAGGCAGGGAAGGCATCACGTGCCTAATTTGGAAGGTAACGGACTTTTGCCGACAAGGTTACCCTTGCTGGCCTGGGAAATATCCTGTACTTGCTTGTTTTCAGTCTGAGGCCTTCCCGGTTGAGGGAGCCACCTCGGGGAAGGCTGCACAATCAGACAGTAAACAGACTGCTTTGTCTTTCCTCAGTCCCCCTCCTGTTCCATCGGCTTATTATAGGGACCACCTCCCGGGGTCATAATGATGAGGTCTTTCCAACTGTTGCTCGTTTTCACTGGGCTGGATCGGCCACAGGGAGTGTGGCCATGTTTCTTGGCTGTGTTAAGTCACCCATAGTCTACATCTTTTATGTTCTCTTCTGAGGATTTAAGTTCTGATATAAATCTTTGATGTAGGTGTGGATGGCAGTGGTGGGAATAAATGCTTGTTTCTGAAGGGCAACTTTCCCCAGGGGGCTCCCCTTCGTAGGAATCCAGTTGTTTCGCCTTACCGTTCTACCTTGTGGACTCTGTCTTCATCATTTCTCCCAATTGATCTCTTCCTTGCAGCCGCCTTCTATAGCTTGGACTTGTGCACTGATACACCAGCTAAAATCTTCCAGAATTTAGGGTTTAGTAGCCTGTTAATTACCTCTCATCACCAACCATTTCTGAGGATCATAATCACATGGTTTTGTTTTCGGAGCTCCATCAGGGAGACCAGTCCCTACATTCTGTCTTCCTTGACTTCCCTTTCTTTACAACTCAGCCAGAAACCTGAGCAACCCTTTGAGATCTTCTCTCTCTGATTCTTCCGTTGACACCAGGCATTGTAGGCTAGTAGGACTGTTTTGTGTCCACAGACGCCCCCCAAGATGAGAGGCTGGCTGGTCTGGGTGCCTCAGAGGTAGATAAGCAGTGTCATCCTCACATGACATTTTATTTTGTAGATTTACCACTGAGGGCGTCAGCTGCTTAAGCACAGAAGTCCTCCAGCATGGCTCCTGGCCTTCCCAACTCAGCCATGTGACTGGACCCTACTCCTTAGGGCAAGGGTCTGCCATCCCCCATAGTGGTAGAGCATTTTGAATGCTAAATTAACCCTGAGACTTGAGAAAATCTAGGAAATGCAATTTTCTTTTGTTCTTTAACAGCCTCTAACAGTATTGGTGTTGGTATGGTTTTTTTTTTAATAGTTTTTACTGTTTTCATATCCTTCAAACTTTGCTTTCCACTTATATTAATACTGACAGGTGGAATGAATCTTGGGAGATGGGTAACCCATTTTTCAAAATAGCTAAACTGTGTTTTCCTTTTAATTGACCTTCACATCCACTCATGCACTTGTAAGCCACCCCTACTCCTCCAGTTCAATTCTGCACACAGCCCAGGTGAAGTGGAGTTTTTATGAATGTTAATCCGATGATGTCACTGCCCTGCTTAAATAGTCTCTCCAGGGACATTGGGGTGATGAGACCAGAATGCTTGATCTGGCACACAAATTCTGTGCATATCATTTTGGTCGGGTCAGTCTCCTCCCTCTCTCTCTTCTACCTGTATCGGCCCTCTTACACTTCCTCGACTGTGTCTTGCTCTTCTCAGCCCAGCATCTGGCTCACTGCCCTGTTGGCAAAGTCTCACTCCTCCTCAGTACACACTTCAGTCTCAGCCCAGATGTCACTTACTCAGAGAGGTCTTTTCCTGAGCCTTCAACTAGGCGAGCTCCTGTTTCAGTATTTTTCCTTTGTATCATGTACTTCTTAACACATGTCACAGCTGTGATAATTTGTCTTCTCTCCGTATAGTCGTGTTCCATGTGGACACAGGGAGCATGTCTGTCCTCGTCTCTGTATCCCCAGGGCTTGGCACACCTTAGACAGTCCATACATTTTTCTGACCTGCCATAAAAAAGGGATAAGAGCTGTCATTTGGAGTTGTGTAGATGACAGCTAATGTCTGTGTGACGCCTCGCTCTGTACCAGCACGGGATAGGTACGTAAGAAGTACCTACTGTGTAGTAATCCGTACATTCATATTTTATAAGCTTACAGAGGCTAGATAGAATGTTGCTTTATTTGACAGATAGTTTATTATGTATTATGGTGAAAAGAATAGGGCTGCAGAGTCAAAAACATCTGGCATTATCCAGCTATACCCTTGGGGTCTAACCGCTTTGAAACTCAGTGTACCTATCTTATGCTAGTGTCCTAGCTGATGGTGACAGGTCAGTGAGAGACTGGGTCACATGCACAGTGTGGATGCTAGCACCTAGTAGGGTCTTCATAAATAGTATAGCCGGTATATTTTTAAGTTAAAAGATTGATGATCTGATGTACATTTATTACTATTATTAATAAATATTTGTTTATTAATCTGAAATTTGTTAATGTCAGATCACCATCTACTACTATAATAAGCTCCTGTTTTCTCAGAATAGAATCTGGCATTGTTTTCTTTAAAAAAAATTTCTTCAGTGTTTTTCTTTTTTAATTTATTTTTGAGAGAGAGAGGGAGAGACAGAGCATGAGTTGGGGAGGGGGAGAGAGAGAGGCAGACACTGAATCCAAAGCAGGCTCCAGGCTCCAAGCTTTCAGCACAGAGCCCGACATGGGATGCGGGGATTGAACGCATGAGCAGTGAGATCATGACCTGAGCCAAAGTCAGATGCTTAACCCCCTGAGCCACTCAGATGCCCCTAGAATCTGGCATTGTTTTCTGATTGTGAATTCTGTAAATGAATTAGTTTGATTTCTTTGCTTTTTTTTGAAAGTGAAATGTCAGTATTTTCTTTTCTTTTTTTTTTTTTGAAGTCTGTGTATTTATTTTGAGAGAGAGAGAGAGAGGGAGACTCTCAAGCGGGCTCCACACTGCCAGCACGGAGCCCACTGTAGGACTCAAACCCACAAACTGTGAGATCAGGACCTAAGACGAAACCAAAAGTCAGGTGCTCAACTGACTGAGCCACACAGGTGCCCCAGTATTTCCATGTTTAAACGCATTATTTATTAGTCTGGCATTCCAGAAGGAACATTGATTTTGAAGGGACTGTTTTACTTATGTGAAGAATTTAGAATATTTATATTGTGTTCCTAAGTTGCCTAACTCTTAAGACACAGAGAGCTAACTATTAACCCAAATGCTTTCTGTCCTGCAGTATCTGAAAGAAAGCAGTTTGTGTTTATAAGTAAGCAGCATGTTCAGAGTATAAGAAGTTGCATTCATTCACAGCCATGTAGAGATTTGACTGGTGGACAGTGTACCACTGAAGAAGTGACTCGGCTGTAGGTGACCATTACCAGTCCCTAAAAATCAATACTGTGCGAATGGTGAAGATAATAGAAAATTTGCTGTTGGATCCTGATGTTTAATTGAGATTCACATTCTGCGGTATTTTGAATTTGGGTTTACAGAATTCTGAAACTGAATTGGTCCCTTTAAGGTTTTTATTCTATTAAACGCTGTTCAGTTTGAGTGATTGTAATTAGATAATATGGCTTTTGAAGAGACCTTATTTTTATGGGAATTAAAAGCATAACCCTTATAAATTGCTTTTTACTGAACAAAAATCTGAGAGATACAAACAGCTTATTAACATGCTAATCTGTCTTTCTTTAGAAGCAGCACTAAGAGGTCTCCTGGGAGCCTTGACCAGTACCCCGTACTCTCCCACGCAGCATCTAGAGCGGGAGCAGGCTCTCGCCAAACAGTTTGCCGAGATTCTTCACTTCACACTCCGGTTCGACGAACTCAAGGTGGGACTCTTCGCTGGCCCTGCATGCGTGGAAACCATGAGCCTTGCAGTGGGCGTAGGAGGAGATTCCTGGGGACCTGGTCCTTAGCAAAACATGAGAAACTGGATTTAAAAGTTGTAGCAGATCTTTGATATATTGTATGTATAGCAAATTATCCAATACTTAGTCTCCCTTTAGCTTCATTTAAAAAAATATCTCTGAAACCTATAATATTAACCTTTTCTAATACTATTTTTTCTGCTTATTCCTAGTTTGTCTTCAACAACCTTTGATATAAAAATGTTAAGAGCCTTTCTTCCTACCTTCCTACCTTTCTTCATTTCTCTTCCTCATCTGTCTGTCTGTCTGTCTGTCTTTCTGTTTTCCGGTGCATCCGGTCCCCCCATTGTTAGGAGTGAGTGTGCAGAAACAAGCACTACCTCTTGTGTCAGGAGACAGTGACCAGGTGTGAGGCAGGCCCCTTGACTTTCCAGGACTTCAGGGACCTCGTCTGATAAATGCAGCAGCTGGATTCCTAACTATAGTCTTTAATGATTGCATAATAGGAAACGATCTTGTTTTATTAATACTATGAGCACAAAGGATTTATGTATGAGATTTTAGTCTGAGGATCACCCTACTGACCACGTATTCATACTTTTATTGTAATAATTCAAAACAAGTGCCTGTGTATTTCTTATTTTTGTTTATTGGGTAATACTGGTTTTTGGAAAATAAGCTTTTAGTATATTACCTGAAATTTTTGAAAAGAAGGGAAGTATTTGGATCATGACTATAAAACCATCTACAGGGTTTATATGTTCTGTAAGGACTAAGTACAGTGTTGCAAAAAGCTATCTTGGAGGATACCAGTTTTAGTTCTTAAATTGTTTACAAATTAGGGAATGTTACATAACTAGTTAAAGCTGTATTTAGTGATTTTTACACTATCATTTAGTGTACATAACTACATTTTTCTTTCATAAATATCTTTAGATGACAAATCCTGCCATACAGAATGATTTCAGCTATTATAGAAGAACATTGAGTCGTATGAGGATTAATAACGTTCCAGTAAGTTAATGCTTTGAATTGGGGCAGGGGGGTAGTAGTGAGAGCCGTTAATTTGTTCAGTGTATTATTTTATTTGCTTGTTCGTTCGCATCAAGTTAAAGCCAATGATAAAGTTCATACAGATCAAGTGAAAGCCAGTGATAAAGTCAGTAACCACCCACGGGCGACTACAGCTGTGAGGAAAGACCAAGATGCCGCAGCCACACATGGTGCTTCCCTGCTCTTCCACCTCATGCCTCGCATTCCTGAGGCTGCTTCAGTGGAATTGCACCTTGTCCACATCGCAATAATACTTACAAAATTTCTCTGTGCATTCTATGTTACTTATTTATTTGTTCATTCACTCACTTAAAGATTTTATCCTTAAGTAATCTCTGCACCCAATGTGGGGCTCGAACTCAACCCCAAGATTAAGAGTCACACGCTCTACCCAGCCAGCCAGCCAGCCAGCCAGGCACCCTATGTGTATTTTCATTTGAATTGCACAAAAGCTTTGTAAATGGTGGTTGTGAGGTTGGCTTGTGGTTTTGTTTTTTTTTTTCTTTTTTTTCTTTTTTTTTTTTTGTCTCCATGCTCTTAGAATGGAATAAACCAGGAGAGAAGGTGGCTTGGAATAGGAGGGGTACTGTTGTCCGCAAAGCCGTGGGCCGTGAGCACTTCTGTGCCTGGTGCTTGGCTAGTATGGTGTCTCTTCTGGTTTACTTAGGCTTGATTTCCCTCGATTTCTCCTTGTCTTTACCCTTTTCTACCTCCAGGGAGTCAAGTACCAGAAGTAAAACCTTAAATGAAAAGAAAATACCTTTTTTCTCTAGGTATTTTGAGGACCTGCCTTGTGCTGATCGGTGTGAAAAATTTCTGGGCTCAGCCTTAACTAGATAGCTTAATAAGGAAAGACCATGTGAGTGTGTAAAGAGCAGTAAGTAGCTTAATAGGTTAAAGAAAATGCCAAAGAAGACCATTCTTTTGTTTTCCTTTTTCCATTGAATCAAAATTTTGTGAAGTGGCCGCTGTCAGACATGCCTTGGTTGGAAGAAGGATTTCTCTTACATGAGGCATCTGTTCTGTTATTTTGCATCAGTTTGATCTTGCATAGACCACTTCTTGCTGTGAAGCTGACCCTCTCTCATCTGTCTTTTTCATATTCACCGTGTAAAGTCAGATCAGATCCAGTCAAATGAGCCCTCTGATTTGAGGGCTAGCACCCAGCCAGCCCTCTGCTGTAGCCATCCTGCTACCACTTAAGGCCAAAGACAAGGGTGCTACCTTGCACCCTCGATAATTATAGGTAAATCCTATTGTTACCGACTGAAGTATCTTTCCAGTCTCTTCCTTACCCCCCTCCCCATTTCATCTCTTAGCTCTTCTGTCCCAGTTGAGGGCCTCATTCCCCTGTCTGCTGCAGTCATTCTCTGGCAGGAGAACTCCTTTTTTGGCCTCTGGCCTTTTTCCTTTTTGGTACACAATGCCCACCATACTCGTCAACTTGCTTGACTTAATTGTTGTTCTTCTAAGGCACTGAGTGGCCCCTGTTACATGCAGAAGAAACATAGGCGCTTAGGCTAGCAGCTCGGGCACTCCGCAGCCTGGCCCCAGCCCTCCTTTCCACCCTTACTCTTCACCAGTTGTTGCCCCTTCTTACCCTGAACGCACCAGGTTACACTCTACGTCATTTGAAAACACTCTCTTGTCCCCTGTCAGGTTGTCGTACTGTGTGCGTACCTGCCTGTCCTCACCTGCAGGAGCTGCCTCTTCAGAGTCTGTTTTAGTTTCTTCCAGTCTAGCATAGTCTTTCTCTCCCCTCCTTTTTCTGTCATCGCTTCTCAGTCTGTGTTGTGGATACTTGTGTGCTTCGAGACAGAGGCCGGGTCAGCGCCCCCGGCACCTCCCTGCCCCTCCGTAGCATTTAGAGCAGCCCCTTGTTACAGGAGGCAGCCCAGCAAGGTTTCATTTAGTTGCTTGGTGTCATGTAAAATATTTTGAAAGAGGTTAATCTTTTTGAAAAATTGCTTAATGCCATATTTAATCTATTTTTAAATGTTATGTGCACGTGAGGGTCTAACATATAAGAGGAAAGTAACAGATATTAGCGCAGCAGTCACTCTGCCTAGGCTCCTTTATAAATGTTATCATATTTAATAATTTATGAACTGATATCAAGTGCTCTTATTTTCCACACAGGCAGAAGGAGAAAATGAAGTAAATAATGAACTGGCAAATCGAATGTCTTTGTTTTATGCTGAGGCAACCCCAATGCTGAAAACCTTAAGTGACGCCACAACAAAATTCGTATCAGAGGTAAGTGGTGCCTGGACGGTTACTCTCGGTGTCGTCACCGCGCCCTGCTGGCCCCGTGACGCTGCCGTCTCCGTGCGCGGATGCACCAAGTCCTTCCCTTCCCCGCGCCCCACACGTGCGCTTCCACCTGCTGTTGGCACCTTCCCTCTGGGTGTCTAGTGGACACCTCGGTGAAACTGTGGCCAAACCAAAGTCTTGGGTTTTTTCCTCCCAGCCTGCCCTTTAGTCTTTTCTGTCTTCATAGTACCACTGTAAAAGCAACTGACTAAGGGTTATCATCCTGAATTCCTTTCTTTATCTCACCTCTTACGTCTCTTCCTTAAGAGAGTCTTACTGACTCTTCCTCCAAAATATACTCTGAATCTGAAAATTTTCCCCTCTCCTCCTCTCCCTCTCCAGACCGGCCCATCACTCTCACCTGCATTCATGTTCCTACCGGTCTTACTTTTTCCACTCTGGCCCCGCTATGGTCCTTTCTGCATTAAAGCACAGCAACTGGACCCAGGGGCAGGAAGAGCTGCGCCTATGGTCCTTTCTTCAAAGAGCAGCCAAGTAATCATCTTTTTTTTTTTAAGTGTTTGTTTATTTTTGAGAGGGAGAGAGAGAGTCAGACAGAGTGTGATCAGGGGAGGGGGTTAGAGAGAGAGGGAGACACAGAATCTGAAGCAGGCTTCAGACTCTGAGCTGTCAGCACAGAGTCTGATGGGCTCAAATTCACAAACCATGACATCATGACCTGAGCCAAAGGATGCTCAACTGATTAAACCACCCAGGCACCCCAGTGATCTTTTTAAAAACCAGATACCTTTCTTCCTCTGTTTAAAGTGTTTCCAGGTCGCCTGGGTGGCTCAGTCAGTTAAGTGTCTGACTTCAGGTCTTGATGTCACCGTCTGTAAGTTCGAGCCCCGTGTCGGGCTCTGTGCTGACAGCTCAGAGCCTGGAACCTGCTTTGGATTCTATGTCTCCCTCTCTCTCTGCCCCTTCCCCACTCCCTCTCTGTCTCTCTCTCTCTCTGTCTCTCTCTCTCTCTCAAAAATGAATAAATGTTAAAAAAAATCTTTTTAAGTGTTTCCAGTGATTTCCCAGTAGGCTTAGGACAAATTCCCCGTACCTCATGGCCTGTGGGGCCTTGGCTGCATGTAGTGGTTGTTTCCACTCAGCCAGAATGGAAGCGACTCTCAGAAGAACAAGGTCTCAGTTCTCTAGCTCTTAGGTGTATCCCTAGAGCTCAGAACAGTACCTGGAATCTTGCACATTTTTTTAAAAATTAGGAGTAGGAACCAAATTTTAAAGTGGTCAGTTTTTCCCATTGTGCTAGGTTTTAAATTACACTTTAGTAATAATATCACTTTCACTTTTTTTCATTATGTACTTTTACAGAATAAAAATTTACCAATAGAAAATACCACAGATTGTCTAAGCACCATGGCTAGTGTATGCAGAGTCATGCTCGAAACACCGTGAGTATTAGCTGATGTTTTTCACTCTAACAGTCCTACCGAAATTGTTGTCTGGATGTGAACGTGTCTTCTTTGGAAGGTGGGGATTAAGTATATCTGAAGGATCCAGTGTTAATATATGAACAGTATTAAGATAATTTGGAAGCATAACATAACTTCTGGTTTGAGTAGAAAGTACAGTGGGTTTTCAGGTGCCTAAGGCCAGTCAGGCTAACTTATAACTTAGACTCTTCAGGATGGGGAATTTTCTGGTGCTCTTACAGGAGGTGGGGGAAGAGCTTTGGTGTTTTGTTTATGCTCCTCATTAAGCATTCTCTCCTTTTCAGTGAGGAACCTTGCCCTTTGCTAGATGAATTGTTGCCCTCTTACTTGAAAAGGCTTTCCAACCAGCTGCTGTGTGTAATGGTGCTTTGGAAAATGAAAAGCTGCAAACTCTTCTCCTTATCCGTGCCCCTCAGTATTAATTCATAGTCTGTATTTTTTTTATCCAACACTAATCCGAATTCTCTTCTGGGTTTACCTTCACTTTCAAGCCATTTATCATATGTTCCACTGTGTTTTCTGGCTGGATTTTCTTATCAACAGGCACAAAGGATCCCTCCTGGATTCCTGAATGACATATGGTTTTATTAGATAACTTGTTTTTGTAGAGCTTTTCATTTTCCAAAGCGCTATTACACACATCATCTTACTGGGAAGCGTTATGAAGTGGAAAGGCCACAATCCATCACCACCATCATCATCATCATCATCATCATCATCATCATCATCTAGGGGAGTGAGCTCCTGGGAAGTGAAGGGATTCTAGCTCAGCGGTCAACCCCACCCATGTTCCTGGGTAGCCCTAGCCTGGTTTGGACACTCTCTGCCAGGTCTTGCTGTCTTCTGCAGAGCCAGAGTTCTATTTTCCTTTTCCCAAATGAGAGAATATGATTGAATTTTTAGTAAAATTAGAATGCAGTAATACAATAATGCAATATTTTGGTTAATAAGTTAGCTTCTAAATAGCCAACATATTGCTTTATTAAGCGAGTGATTTTTTTCCTATCGTATTGGTAGTAACAGCCTTTGGTAGTAACAGTAAAGCACCTGTCCTAAAGCTGTTACTTTGGGGCTTTCATTTCTCTAAATTTGCCTCATCTCTGCCAAGCAAAAGGGGTGATAGACCAAGGAGGGTGCATATAGAGATCAGAATACGTAAGTGACCACCATTCTACCAACCTCACTTCTGGGATTCTCACAGTGGAGAGAGGAGGGCGTAAGTTAGCATTCCTTTTACAGATCAACAGGGTACATCCTTCAGCATCAGCTGGAAGTTGAATTGACTCCTTAAGTGACGATGGGCCTCCCCCCTGATCCGTATCTTTTCTACCCTGCAGGGAATACAGAAGCAGATTTACAAATGAAGAGACAGTGTCGTTCTGCTTGAGGGTAATGGTGGGTGTCATCATACTCTATGACCACGTACATCCAGTGGGAGCATTTGCCAAAACTTCAAAAATTGATGTAAGTTATAATGCTTTACTTGATTTTCAACCATTTCCATAAGGGGAAATGGTAGGCTTTTCTGTAAAGAGCTGCAGGATGACTCTGTCACAGACCTTAGTTTTACAGATTCTGTTGCTCTCGTATCGTGTGGCCTGGTTTATAGCCATGCACGAGTGCGGCAGAACGGAGGACAGCTGGACCTCGAACTCGCCGCGGTCCTTTTGCCTGGTGGGCAGTGTAAATAATCAGACATCAGAAATTTCATTCTTTGACCAAAGGCCCTTTCAAACAAAAGATTTATTTCCATATGTATAGAGAAAGTCAGTAGAGGTGCTCCAGTGGAAAAAGACTATGTAATAGAATACATATTTTTCTCCTCCCTCCCAGGCATAGTAATTTGTGGCTCTCATCTGGATGTCAGCTTTGCTTCTCTCTACACAAGTTTATATTAGGAATAAAGTAGCTCCCTTGGTTCCTCTGTTGTAATTTCTCCCCTAGTCGCATCTGGTTCATCAGAATTATAACCAGTGTTTGGTGAGAGTGGTCTTCCAGTTTCCCTTTCATAGTTGAGGCTCTCAGCATTTCGTGTCTAGATTACTTACTGCCAGCCAGTCTCCCTTTCTTTATTCATGTCCATCCTCTGTAAAGAGAAACGGGTTAACATTTATTGAGTGAAAACTGTGTCCTAAGAAATTTATGCTTGTTTCCCACTTACCTCTGAAAATATTCCTAGGATGTAGATGTCATCCCCCCTCTACAAATAGATAATCTAAAATTTAGGGAAGTTACGTAGTATAATTGCCAGTGAATGATAGTGGGATTTTGAATCCACATCTCCATGGCTTCCAAAGCTGTAGAATACTGTGTTCTACGTTTTCACAATCTTCAGCTCGTCTATCTTTACATACCGTCTACACTGAGCTGCTCCCTTTCTAATGGCCCATAACAAGGTCCCTACCCATTCAGTTCGAAATGAGTCCTCCTGGCTTGCGGGGCTCTCTGTAAACTCCCCTGTGAATCCTCAAGATTCTGTCCTCGGCGTGTGATAAACTTTATTATTTTTGTCGGGGTGTTTGCCTGGAAAGGCGCCTCTGTCGCTTGGCAGCCTGTCGGTCCCGTCCTTTCCGAGGCTGCCGCACACCTTCTCCGGGAGTCTTCCCTTAGTCAGCCTGTAGTTTCCTCATTAGTTAGTGTGCACGCTGATTCCTATTCGGTTCTTGAAAAGTTTTGTTTGAGAAACTGAAAATAACCTTTGGGTAGATTTCTTCCCCCTGTTCTAGCAGTGATGATGTTGACATTTCTAGGATGTAATTTCTCCTGAGTTCCATAGTTGTGGTGCTGATTTAAGTACTATTGTTTTGATAATGAGTGTTCTTTGAGAAAACTCATTTTTTTACCTTTTCCATTTCCTCTTCTCCTTAGATGAAAGGTTGTATCAAAGTTCTTAAGGACCAACCTCCCAATAGTGTAGAAGGTCTTCTAAATGCTCTCAGGTGTGTATATGTACAGAACAAATATATGTAAGTGCTTCAAAATATGCATAGTACAAAGGATATAAATATGTATGTGTTAGAAATGTGCAGATATCATTTTACTTATTGGTAACCTTGTGTTTAAGTTTTTGGTTGCAATATTTTACAATAAAGAGTGTGTGTGTGTGTTTGTGTGTGTGTGTGTGTGTGTGTGGTGTGCAAGCACAGATAAAAATAGCAGCTTCATTTCTTTGCTAAAGATTTTGGCTTTCATTTTTTGCTCCACTTGGGATGTTTATTTTTTAATGAAAGTAAACCATGCTAATTGTAAATAAAACTCAGCAAAATAGGAAAATTTAAAGCAAAAGAAGGAAATCACATAATCTCACCATTTTGAAATAAACTGCTGTTAATATTTTGGTATATAGTCTTCCACAGTTTTTTCTTTGCATTTGTAGGTAGTCGAAGTTCGGTGATATTTCTCTTTTTACAAATGTAATGCTCTACAAACCCTTCTATAACTACCTCTTACCTCTTTCCCCTTAATATAGTGTAATAATATTTCTGTTTTCACAAATATTTTTGTTACTTTTGTCTATTTCTTATAGAATTTCTTATAATGAAAACAAAGCTGTTATTATTTGATGTCTTGCTTACACTACATGATTTAGCTATTGTAGCTCCTAAGAATGCTGGAATTTTTTTTTTTTAAGGCAGGATTCTTTTTTCTTAAGTAAGCTCTAGGCCCAATGTAGGGCTTGAACTCAGGACCCCAAGATCAGGAGTTGGAAACTTTTTTTTTTTTAAATGTTTTTATTTATTTCGGAGAGAGAGAGACAGCGTGAGCAGGGGAGGGTCAGAGAGAGACGGGGACACAGAATCTGAAAACAGGCTCTAAGCTCTGAGCTAGCTGTCAGCACAGAGCCCGACGCGAAGCTCAAACCCACAAACCGTGAGATCATGACCTGAGCCGAAGTCGGACGCTTAACCGGCTGAGCCACCCAGGCGCCCGTATAGAAACTTTTTGAGGTCACAAGCCATCTTTGCTTTTCAGTACAGTCCACACGATACACAAAAATGATGTCCAATTCAGTATTAAATTTCTCACATGTTTTATGAGACAGCAGGTCATTCCTGTTGAGTATTTAGTCCCACTTGGTACATCGTAAAGCAGAATCTGCGCTGTGTCATTTCAGCTGCATGGAACGAACCGTCAAAGGGTTTCATTAAGATGATAAGAAATATTCTGTAAGCAGTTAGTGCCTGAACACAGGGAGTCTGTTCTAAACAAACATCAGAAAGATTAAGGGATGTACATCATATAACAATAAAAACCCTCATAATGTCAAGCTCTTTCAACCGTAAGTCTATCAGAAGCCACAACTGTTGGGCGTTTTTTACTCTGGAGGTTTTTACAATGTGAACCTCATTGGTGTCACCCAAAATCGTGGTGTTGTGAACCGTTTCTACTTGATCCCTTTCTGAAAACCCTCTGGGTCCCAGTCTCAGCTTGGTTTTTCTCCCAAGACTCTTATGGTCAGACTCCAAAGCCACCAGGGACGGGAGACCAGTTTTGAAAAGGGAGAGGGACTTGAAGGCTAGCAGGGTTTGGTGTTGTTTCTTTACTTTGAAGGGACAGTGGTCCACACATTAATTTTAAGACTCAGAGTTTGCTTTTGTTTTTCAATATTTGAAGGTAGTTCATTCTCTTCCACTCTAGAATTTGGGCAGCGTTGGGCTGTGGGGCTAAGTGAGAGGTGGGGTTGATGTCTTGCACACACCAGTCTGGTTTGCACCATTGAGGGTTTTCAGTTTTCTTTGCGGATCCTAATGGAAAGTAGAAGAGGAAGGTTTTGTTGCAGAGATAACTCTTGAACCGTTTTTATTCCTGGTGGATGTGTTTTGTGGCTGGTTCTCATTTTCCCACCTGGAGGTTTCCTCAGGTTCATTGGTGTACTTGATGTTTTGTAGTTGTGGTCACAGTGAGGGGCAGTTTTACAGCCCTGTAAGTTTACAGCGTGGTTTCATCTGTATGACTCTATCTAACCTTAACCACAGCCCTGTGAGGTAGGTGATGGATGTGAGGTGAGGGCGATGTCTCCATTGTACCGTTACCTTGAGCTCTTGAGAGACTTACTGATTATATAGGTGATTAATCAATGTTGGAATCTGTCTTCACGTTCAGGATTTCATTCTTAACATCCCATATGCTTGATGCTGTACCATTGAGCCATAGGGTTCCTGTGTGATTGAACCCTGGAGTGTTTTTGGAGTAACTGGCAAGGAAATGAAAATGCAGATTCCCAGGTCACCACACCCATAGGGACTCTCTCTAAGGTCTGGTGTGGGGCCCAGGCACCTCTTTTTATAAGTAAACACCCTGGCTGATGTAATGCTGGTACTTTGAGAAACATTGCTCAGACTACATCACCCTCGCCCTTAATGTGCTTCATTTAGAGCAAAGGAGTTACTGTGTCAAAAGTGTTTTTGTAATCCCCGAAATGCAATGCAAATGTTCATTGGTAATTAAACCTTTACAAAATGGAAGACACTTCTGTGGAATTACTTTCTGAGTAGCTGCTTTACTAGAGAGGCTCACCCCACCATGTTCCTCAGCCAACTGTGGTTAACCCAAAAATTTTAAGTTTTAATTGCACAACACATAATATGCTATTTATTTGGAGTGTTTTTCTGTAGGAATTACCTGGTGCCTCCAGCTTACAGCATGTGATTACAGGGAAGCAGCAAGTCATGTCTACATTCAGTAGGTGGAGCCATGGAACCAAGTCCCTTGATCGTGAGAGAGAGCTAGGGCTCCTAAGGTTCAATGTTACATAACTGCTGTCTTTATTCAAGTTCAGAGTAAAGATCAATAATAGTTGCTTTTCTTCAGTAGAAAAGCTATACGCACCTGGAAAGGAACCGGTTGTTATGCACAAAGTGAGATAATCCCATGTGTGTCCATACATTTTCACGCATGATCGGTGTTACAGGCCTTTTCTTGGTAGCAGTGTGGTGACGGGACACCTCCCTGCAGTTGGCCCCGTTCGGGGGAGGCTGGGGGGAGCGCTGCGAGTGCACGCTCCCATCCCGCAGAAGGCGTCCGCTGTCACAACGTTGCTGAGCAGCGACGCGCACAGCTGCTCGGAGCACAGATGCTGGTGTGCCCGTCGGGAGTCCTCTCCCCTGGGAAGGAAAGGGGAAGATGGAAATGAAGACAGGGATGTTGAACATTTTTACTTCCTGACGTCAGGAGGCTTATGTGTAGCTGTAGATACTTTATCTGTACTTGGAAAATAAAACAGAAAGCTTTAGTCTTGGCCACATCACTTCCCACTTAATGTAAATAATCCTTCATGGATTTTTTTCCCGTGGTTGCTTGCTCTCTCGTCTTCCTTCCGCAAATCTTCATGGAGCGCCTATCCCGTGCCGGGTGCTCGGGTGTCTCTTCAGGAGTGTGCGAGCAGTTGGGAAGTGCCTTCTAGGCAACATTGTAGAGGATGGATCAGGTGCTTAATCAGTTCGTGTGTGTGTCTTTACCTCTCCAAGGATTTGAGTTCAGATACTTTCTTCGGGTTTTCAATTGATTTGAAACCAAACTAACAAGAATTGGGTTTAAATTTCTTGAACACACAAAGGCCGTCTGTGTATACTTTGCTTAATTATATAATCCTTAAAGATAATATGTGAAATTCTCACAAGCCAGATTAGCTGATCAAGAATTAAGCTCTGTGTGAATTGTCTCCAAAATATGTCCCCCATTCAGGCCTTGGGCCCCTGTTCCGTTGCTGCCCATCTGGCCCAGGCCACGGCCTCTCTCACTGAGGCCCCTGGCACAGCCGCGTGGTTGGTCTGTGCTGTGCCTCTGCTCCCTCTGGTTCTTCCTCAACGGCCAGAGCTGTCCTTCTACAACATAAAGTCGCACGTCGCTGCCCTCTTTAATGTCCTCCCCTGGCTTTCACTGCACTTCTAATGACTCACAACTCCTCACCGCGGCCTTCAGCGTCCTTGTGAGCTGGGCTTGCCCGGCATCTAAGGCCCCATCTAGTACTTTCTTCCTTTGCCCCTCGTGTGAGTGTGTTACTGTCCATTGTCTAAGCCACGTTGTAAGCTCCTGGAACAGTGCCAGAAACATAGTAGCTCATTTACTGAATTTTGGCTATTAAAGGGCTCCTATAGGAACTCTTCTCATAAAATAATAATCACTCTTCATGATTCTTTCCTTGTGTTTAGATGCTTATATAGCAAAACATGTCTGCCTGGAAATAAGGCACTTCAGGAATGGAGACATTTTGGGATGTGACCGTTGGAGCTGTGGTAGTTGAGCTTAGCTACAGACTAGAATGGGGGCCGGCCTTTCTCTCTGAAGGGCTGGAGAGCAAACAGACATTTTAGGATTTGGGGTTACATGGTTTCTTGTCACAGCTACTCAAGTCTGCCATCGGGGCAAGAAGGTGACCAGAGAGAATACTTCAGTGAGAAGTACGCATATGGCTGTGTTCCATTAAAACTTTTTATAAAAACACTGAAATTTAAATTTCATGTAATTTCCACATTAACTTGAAATATTATTCTTTTGATTTCTTTCCCCATTCATTTAAAAGTATAAAAATGGGGGCTCCTGGGTGTCTCAGTCGGGTAAATTTCCAGCTTTGGCTCAGGTCATGATCTCACAGTTTGTGTATTTGAGCCCCACGTCGGGCTCTGTGCTGACAGCTCAGAGCCTGGAGCCTGCTTCAGACTCTGTGTCTCCCTCTCTCTCTCTGCCCATTCGTCCCTCGTGCTCTGTCTCTTTCTATCTCAAAAATAAACATTTAAAATAAAATAAGTAGAAGTGTAAAAATACACTTAGCTCACAGGCCATGCAGAATAGGTAGCGGGCTAGATTGGGCCGCAGGCTGCATTTGCCACAGCTGTTTTCCTCGAGTGAGAAGGTACATCTAATTGTTTCTTTTAGAATTTGGATCGTTCCAACAGGGCGGTTCTACCTTAGTTACAGAGCTAGCGGACAAGCTGTATAAAAGGAGGTCAGGGAGGCGAAGTAGGGCGGAGCCTGGACACGCAGAAGCTGGAACGAGAAGGCACAAGATTCTGTGAGAGATTTTTGCCTCTTTGCCCAGCTTGTGGTAATTCTAGAACCCGCGGTAGGTCGTGGTTTCCGAGTTCCCTAAAATGCTGTTCTCCCCTGTCAGGTACACGACAAAACATTTGAATGATGAGACTACCTCCAAGCAAATCCGGTCCATGCTGCAGTAGCAGCCGCGGCGCCTGCTGCGGACGGAAGGCAGTATTCTGCGCTGGCCGAGAGTGCACAGTTTGTAGTGATTGCAGTTACGATCATGTACTCCTGCGTTTCCTTTCTTTCCTCTGTTCCTCCGCCTCTTTTTTAATCACGTTCTTGTTCCCAAGACTTCTTTTCTGTGCCAAAACCAGTAAAGTTCTACTCCGAAGGGACGCTGTCCTTTCGAACGGGCCATCTAAGGCAGCTAATTCCGCATCGCATTGGGGTCTCTACTGAGAAGAAAATTCTGTGACTTGAACTAAATATTTTTAAATGTGGATTTTTTTTGAAAACTAATATTTAATATTGCTTCTCCTGCATGGCAAAACTGCCTATTCTGCTATTTAAAAACCCTCAACGACTTTATTTTCTACTGCCGCTTTTTTCCTGTGCAGCCAAAATGAAAATGTTTAAATTAACTGTGTTGTACAAATGGTACCCAACACAAACTTTTTTTAAATTAGTAAGACTTTTGTTTAAAGTTTTAAGTTTGCATTTTGACTTTTTTTGTAAGGATGTATGTTGTGTGTTTAACCTTTATTAACTAACGTTAAAAACTGTGATGTGTGCGTAGAATATTACGTATGCATGTTCATGTTTAAAGAATGGCTGTTGATGATAAAATAAAAATCAGCTTTCATTTTTCTAATGTGGCTTGGTTTACTGGTATTTTGTTTTTAGGCTTCTGAAACGCGTACACACATAATGTCCCTTTCTTTTAGGGGAGAGCTGGGCTGGGTGTTTTTAATAGTCTTTTTCTTCATTTTTGTCTACGTTGTTAACTGCTTTTAAAATTTTGCTAAACAAAGTTAAGATCAGGGATCTGGTCGTTAGCTTGCCTTTTATTCCTGATTTACCCTTGTATGGGTGATAGTAATAGAAGGAAAACTACGTTTGCTCGATTTCACGGTTCCCAGGGGTGAGAGGGAAGCCCCAGGAGGCAAAGAGGGTAGAGGGAGGAACAGGCCTCCACGCTGGGAGCAGAGGGAGTTAAGAGGAACTTGAAGCCAAAGACCTTGACTCCCTGGCGGTAGAAAACGAGGGTGTTTGTTGTTTTAATATCATAAAACCTTAATCATGGAATCGAAATGTGCTGATTGGGAGAAGCAGCTTGAAGGTGGCGTTGTCTAGCTGGGCTGGTGGTTTGCGGAGTATGTGAGCTCTGGTGCGACTGAAGGGGTCAAGTGTGGAAGAGAGTCCCAGAGGCTTCCTTCAGGTCCTTCTGGCTTATTAACAGTGTCAGATCCTGATGCCCATGGCACCATGGTGGCATCCCTGCCCACCTTCCTGGCCTTCATCTCATGCTCTCCTGGCCTCAGCTGCCTGCAGTTTAGATAAGTTGTTTGCCCCGTCATACCTCCCTAACTCCGGCGGGTCCCTGAGTCTGCTGTGCCCTCCCTCCCTTCCTCCCTCACGTCCACTTGATGAGCAGCAGCTTGTGGGACCTTCTTCATGAAGCCTTCTGGGTAACCTTAACCCCAGTCTTCTAAGAGTATTGAAATGGGTTAAATAGTGGCTCCACTGAAAAGATATGTCGACCCACAACCTGAAAATACAACCTTATTTGGTAAAAGGGTATCTGCAGATAGAATTAATTTAAGGACCTGGAGAGGAGACTATCCTGAATTCACGTAGGCCCTAAATCGAATGACAAATCCTTAGAAAAGAAAAGAAGGGGAAACAGACACAACGAAAGGCCCTGTGAAGATGGAGGTGAATTGGAGCCGCGTATCCACAAGCTAGGGAACCGAGCCAAGCATTGTTGCCGTTTGCCAGGAGCCGGGAGTCCTGGGACAGATTCCCCCTCGAGAAGCCCCCCTTCGCCAGAAAGACCCAGCCCACTTTTCAGACTCCTGGTCCCCAGGACTGTGAGAGAACATAATCCTGTGTTTCAAAGCACCTGCTCTGTCTTCCTTTGCCGTGGCAGCCCTGGGAATCTAACGCGGGCGTCTCGTCAAGCACCTCTGGTACTCGACTGCACCCTGTGGGTACCTTTTCTGACTCTGAGAACCCAAGAGCAGAGCCACATCTGATTTCTCCCTCCGTGTCCCCAAGATCGTGCGCAGTCCCCAGATTTGAGTGGAAGCCCAGTGAATGCCCGAATGGAGTGAATGCGTACAAATAAGTCATGACGCCCCCGGACTAGACAAAGTGACACTGCTCTGGCCCTTGCAGCCAGCACGCTGCACGCTCTGCGTCCTGGAGAATAAGTAGAACAACCCCTGACTCTAGACACAGAGCCAGCAAACTGGTCTGTGGGCCCATCCGCCCACCGCCAATTTTTGTACAGCCTGTGAACTGAAAGTAGTTTTTACGTTTTTAAAAGGTTGGGAAAAACCGTGGCATGGGTGAAGTATGTGAACTTCAAACTCCACTGTCCATAAATAAAATTGTATTGGAATGCAGCGTCACTCGTTTACTCACTCATTTGTTTACGTCTTATTCTTGGCTCCTTTTGCTCCCCAACAGCAGAATGGAATTCTTGTGACAGAAACCAAATGGCCCTCGGAGGCGGAAATATTTACTACCTGGCCCTTTGCAGGAGTTTGCCAACCCCCCTCCACCAGTTAGAAGAGCAGGTTTGTTGGAGAACCTGGTGTCCGGGAAGTGCAGGGCTACAGTGTGAGGAAAGGAGCCATCCCTGCTGCCGTGGATTTAATTCCAAGTCTGCTCGTTGCCATTCAGATGGTCAGAGGGAACAGATAGGCAACTTCCCACCCACCAAGTCTGATCTCTTACTCGTAGGGCCTGTCCTACAATGGAGGATTGTGGGACTGGCCATGGGCACCTCGAGAAAGACGGCGAGGATGAATCAGCAGGGTCTGCCCTGCACACTGGAGGGAGGAGTGACCCTGCTCTGGGTAGGTGAATTGAAGCCAGCGTCCTTTGACCCACCTCCTACCCCCTACCCCGTTCCTCTAAAACACAGCTCTGCTCAGTATCTCTACTCGTGGGTCAATGCCTGAGCCTCTTTCATTCACGATATTAAGTATCCAGTGCACCCACTGCCGCATTTCTGCAGCCCTCAGTTGGATGAGCAGAACATCTGAGTCGGCTGTTTTCCCCCTTACAGATATGGATTAAACAGCACTCTGGACTATTTTATGATTGCTCCAAGTATTTTAGACTTGTCATAAAGATAATTAGCACTTGTGCTCAAATCTAGGTTTTTTGCGTAAAAATGCCATTCTGGTTCCATTTGAGGGTCCGGTAACTTCAATTCCATAAATTCTTAGTAAATAGTCCCTTACGGAGCATATTTTAAGTTGTGTAGAGTACAATGTGATCACAGAAGATGGACTAGAAAGATCTGGGCATTAAGAGGAAACCCAAGCCACATCATTTTGGAACTCTGCCTCCTCAGTAAAATGAGAGATTTGAGGCAAAATCTCTGTAACGTTTGGTTCCCCGTCATATGTACATGTCTGTATATACCATCTGCAAAAGGCTGTGGGAATGTGAACAGTCACAGCACAGACTTCAGAGTTGCTGGACTTGAGTTTAACTCGGTGTGGCTTTGGGTGAGTCTGTCCTCATTTACAAAGTGGGTAATAGGCGAGATACCTACCCTCTCCAGTGACCCTGAGGATTATACTAGATAATGCCTGCCGTGTCCTATATGTACCTGAAGTGCTCACCGTCCATTTTATTAGGACTATCATGATATTCAACTGTATTAAAAAGAGCAATGCAGCCTATTCCCGGTGTGCTGTCCATTAACGTGTAGGGTTTCCTGTTGATTCTAGAGTAGTCGGTGGTACCAGCTCTGCCTCAGTCAGTGAGGGTGCTGGGCAAAGCTGTATAATTAAAAATAAATTTTTTTAATGTTTTATTTATTTCTGAGAGAGAGTGAGCAGGGGAGGGGCAGAGAGAGAGGGAGATACAGAATCTGAAACAGGCTCCAGGTTCTGAGCTGTCAGCACAGAGCCCGATGCGGGGCTTGAACCCACGAACTGTGAGATCATGACCTGAGCCGAAGCCGGACGCTTAACCAGCTGAGCCACCCACGTGCCCCAAACCTGTACAATTTTAATGAACCCCTTAAAGATAAACTACGTGGTAGTGCTGGTTTTCTAAATGGACAGCTGATGAACTGCCTATTTGAGATGATAACTAGCAACACAATTATTTTAAACATCAAGCTCCAGTATACTGATAGATTGTTCCAGTCAGCATGTTCACAATCACATCTTTATGTCTGGAAATACTAAGTACCCCCACGGAGCCCACTTGGACTGTGTCCTAGCCCTGTAACGATGGATGCCTATGGGCCTTGATGGAGGAAGGCACCGTGTTCTGGATGTTTAGAGAGGGCGTTGGGCCAGAAGAAGTCACAGCAAAAGCACATATTGGTGTATATTCTCCACTTTGTGGTCTGAATAGTGTGTTGACACAAAAACCCAGGATTTTTCAAGAACTCTTTTGGAGGAAATTCCTAAATAATGTGGTTGTAGGAGCAATAGTATGGCTTTTGTAAGTGAGATAGACTGGGTTCAGATTTTGTCATCCACTTTTAGTCTGCCATCTCTTCACCCAAACGCAACTTTTTTTTTTTTTTAATTTTTAATGTTTATTTTGAGAGAGAGGGAGGGAGACACAGAGTTCGAAGCAGGCTCCAGGCTCTGAGCTGTCAGCACAGAGCCTGACACAGGGCTTGAACTCATGAATGGTGAGATCATGACCTGAGCCGAAGTTGGATGCTTAACTGACTGAGCCGCCCAGGTCCCCCCAAATGGAACTTCTTACATGAACTATTCCATGCTTTATTTGCATATTATTATGTGAAAAGCGTCTTCATTATTTTTGAATGCTGGGCAGTATTCCATTGTATGGATGTGCCATAATTAACCATGCCCTTGTTTGATGGACTCGGTTTTCAAACTTGTAAACAACGGTGTGAGGATAAGCCTTGTACACACATCACCCGTTGTCTCAAGTCCTTTGAGATGGCAGGTCCCTGTGTCAGATTATGGATGGGCCATGTTCTCTGTGTACACGTAACCCTCCAGTGAGGCCTGCCTTGACCCTTGCTATTCAGAACGACCGAGTCCCAGACCCTCCTCACTTCCCTTCCTCTATTTTTGTCTCCATTGCTCTTACCACTGAACATGTTCTAGCCTGGGGTTTCCACGGGAAGCAGAGCGTGAGCAGGGGCTGTGTGCTGCCGGTAGTTAATTTCGGCAGGTGGTCCCAGCGAGCCCAACTAGTGGGCTGGGCAAAGTGAAACAGGCCTGGGGGGAAAGCCAATACAAGGCTGGGTTCTCAAAGCTGGGATTCCGTGCCCCTGACCCTCTGGGGATTTTGTAGAAAGCCCCTCAGCTCTGTCCTTCTGGAGGCAGACAAGGGGAGTATTTATCCACCAGCACCCATCTTCCATTGTTGAAGGGCCACAACAACAGGAGGCCTAGCCACATCTTTATCCTTCGTCCCCTGCCCTCAGACATCTCTCCCAGAGTAGCACACGAGTTGTCGGTGACACGGGGAAAGTCATGCTATTGAGCAATGTGCTTGACCAAAGTGGGGTCCGAGGGCATGTTCAGCTCCGAGGAGGCCCTGGGTTCCCCCAACCAGTGTGGGCAGTCTCCTGCATAACACTCATCACGGCGGGAGTTAATAAAGTGACTGTGAAATTTTTGTTTAGGGCCCATGTCAC